CATGATGCACTGGAGCTGACTGTAGCATCAACTAGCACCTGAACATTATGAGTAGGGAAAGTTGGAAGGCCTCTCTGGTGGATGGTACCCTGTACATAGCACTGTTGTAGCTATAGCAGGAGACAGGCTGTAGCTATAGCAGGAATTAGGCAGGACTGTAACAACTGTAGCCACTCTAGCTGTGCATGTATCTGGGAGACTGTGCATAGCCTGTCACCTGGATGCTACTCCAGATGTGGTGATCACTCAGCTACTGGTAAAACGTATGCCAACATGTCCCATGAAGCAGGTGGAAATGTGCCAAGATGTCCAGATCCTGTACATGAGAGTTAAAGTGTACCAACCTCTGGTAGGCTCTACCATGCAGCGGGGTGTACTGGAATTTTGAAACGTACATGTATGTACCGGGTGTTGAAAGGTACATGTATGTACCGGGTGTTGAAAGGTACATACAAATGTAGATGTCCTGGAGACTTGAAAGATACCTACCTGTACAATGCAGCAGTGTTGAAAACATACCTTCATGTACCTTGAAGTTCTTGCACTGGAGTGTTGAAGTGTACCTACCTGTACCGGAGTGTCGAGACATTATAACTTACCTGTACCATGGAGCAGTGTGAAACGTACCTACATGTACCTACCTGTACCTACCTGTACCTGAGTGTTGAAAACGCACCTACATGTACCTAGTGCATGTACTGGAGTGTTGAAACATACCTAGCCCCAGTACCATGCAGCGGTGTTGTATGTACATGTAGCGCCCATCCCTGGTGGCAGGAGAATGGCGTTGTCGATATCATTGATCCGGCAGGTAGGTACATCCGGTTATTCCTGTTTCCTCCGCATTACAGCAAGCAGATAGCTTTTGGGGGGCTCAATCTTACTGTTCGTTGTAAATCAATAATGAGGTTTTTACTGTTGTTTGATAGAAAATTCTACAGGTTTGAAGTCTGTTGAAACCATTTTCTTTATTTAGATCAGCATTTTTATTTATTACTGGTTTGACTGTTACCCTCACAGCCAGGGCAGCCAAACTAGCCAGTGGCTAATACAAAGGGCTTACCCTGCTGACAAGACATGACAAAATATTACGGCAACATATAACTATAAGGTGGCTTAACAATCTACAAAACTATAATTTATATTTAGAGCAGTAAGGAATACTGTATGTATGTCTCAATTTGGTACTGACAGTGTTTGAGGATTTGGAGAATTGAGATCCTCGTCCCAAAGCATTACACTTCAAAGGAGAGAAGAGATGCCCTTAAGAATAATTTTATTACCAAATCTCAATATTACAGTTTGAGTAGTTCTGACATGTTCTATTTAGTTTCCTATGGAGAAATAAGTGGCTTTTGTATGATAATAAAGGTGGGAATCAATACTTCAGGTTTGATCAATTCTGGAAAATTGATACACGGAGCACGTTGCCAACTTACTGCCAAATTTCATCTTTGTCGCTCTGATAGTCAATAAATTTCGGTGCTCTTTGAAACATCAGGCCACACTGATTTAATTTTATGGATGACATCTTCGTGCACATTGATTTTCTCAAAAAGAAGATCGCCTACTTCGAGGCCCTGGCTTGGGTGCAATCCTCTGTAGTCCATGGTACTACAGGTCAATAACTCTGGAGGATGACACCCAGGCTACCAAAGCTCTGTGATTCAAGAACTGAGTACATAACGTACAGTGCCGACTCATAAATACCAGAAAGGGCCAGCATGTGCCGGCTTGTTGTAAAAGTCACCATGTACTACCGCAAATTCACAATCATAGCTTTGTATCCCTATACTAGTTGCTGTTGAAATCATAATTGATAATGTTTTTTTTTCTTTAAACAGACTTGCACTGGTAGTCAATTGATTTTGGTAGTCCTCGAAACATTTGAATGTCTAAAATATACTGTTCAAATCATTACACACAAATGCTAACACTTCTTTTTTTGTCCTAACTGTCCTTGCCGAAGGACTGTAGAAATTTTGTCACCACAACTTTGATGAGTTTTCCCCCGATAATGACCCAATTAACCTCCTCATCACAGGAGTTAATTCGTTACGACCCACTGGACCATGTGACCTGCTTTGCTCTGCTTATAATCAGATTTCTGTACCAGGCAGATGCCACTAAAAAACTGCCGACCCCAGCCTTTTTTGTGTGTGTGGTCCTTTGCAAGGGACATACTTTTTTTTAGCTGATCGACCTTTAAATTTCTAGCTTCATGATCTGACACCTGAGTCATTAAACGTTGTACAACATTGACATTGAAAATGAAAGTGTCCTTAAGCAAGTTTTATTGAGTGTATAAGGTGGATCAATACAGAGATCTTAAGTCTAAAAAAAAAGAAAGAATAAAAAAATGGTAATGTTTACCTACCGACTCTACATGACATTGTAATTTTCTTAGGACTGTAACAGGAAATAACTGTGCAAAGGGCGGCTATTTGAGGTTGTTTAATGTCATGCTGTATTTTATAGAGGGCAGACAATGCAAGTGATAATGAGTCATCTGGTACATGAATTTCTACATGATGTAGTTGTGCACAAATATGTGACTTTTGGGGATGAAATTTTAGTCTGTTAAAGATCCAGTTTAGGTTGCACAAGTGACAGTTGTCCCATTAGCTACATAGAAAAGATTTATCAGAAACAGTTTTTCTGACAACATTATCACAATGTTTAATTAACCTGTGTCTGTTGTAAAATCTTTGGTTTGAATTTGAGGTCAGTTGATCTTTCAGGCTATTACGTGAAAATTTGGTCTGTGAAGAATTCAGAATCTGCCATGATAGCTATGTGACATAGTTCAGGTGATGTTTTATTCATCGCAGTTAATAGAGACATTTTGTCCGTTCAATAGGCCATAGAACAAGGAATATTCAGTGCAGGACATCGAATATGGGATGTCAGTTATTTACTGACTATATCACATCACTGGTTTCCTTATTCTATTGCTTTCTTGAATTTTCCTTTATTTTTTCTTAAGGCAGAAAATGTGCAATGTATCTGGTCAGCTGTTCACATGCAGGTGTGAATATAAGGGCCAACGGTAGGAATGGTCCTTGCCTGGTGGTTTCCAAGTTTAATCGATAAACTGATTGGTAGAAGCGCCGCCTCAAGCATACAAACAGCAGTAGCTGAGTCAGAATCTTAAACCAGTTATGTGATCCGAAAGCAAGCAAACAAACAAAAAAGATAACTTACAGCAGACAATGTCTTAGTCTGGTTTTAATTTCCTCTTCCATGCTGGACTTACTAGTACATGTATTAACTGATAATTATTACAGATTTACATGACAACATGTACAAACATGTACTTACATGTACAAACATGTACTTACATGTGCAAACATGTTCTTACATGTATGTACATGTACCTGGTGTATGTGTAAATATATGCACTGCTTGTACCTAGTAATTTGTGCATGGCACATACAAGTATTAAGTATACTGTGTAATTGTGCATGCCAACTGTAGAGTAACCATGAACAAGTCTGCCTGAGCCTTCCTGCAAAGCAATTTGGCACAGACAGTGGAATTTAAATAAGCGTCTCCAGTACTGGTATACTATAGTATAGGTTTGCCAGCCTAAGTGCCTGTATGGTAATGTACATGTAACCTTGAGCTCACGGATGGATTGCAGCATTGAGATGTACATAATAATGGTTGGTTGTTCAGACTTCCCAACCATGCTATTAGCTCCACAGTAAGGCCACACCAATTTAATTTGTTGGTTCTCGGATCCGCCTCTTCATTTGTACTGATTTTCAAAGAAAAAAAAAGATTCTGGTTCTGAATCAACTAAAAAATGCTCATATTTTGCACCCGACAGTTTAGGAAAGTCCTTTTCTTCCTACTTGTTACAGTTTTTCCATCTATCAATGCAGTGCACGTGGTTTGATTAAAGTTCATAATTCTTTGTTTAAATTTAGAATCCAGTCTTTCGTGTTGACTTCATGGCTCCTATCGAAGCATTTGGAGCTATAGTAGGATGCCTAGACCTGTTTTTACTTTTTTTTTTCACCCTGTCGCTTCATTTTTTTTTCTGAAAAAATCTGAGAACCAACAAATTTAATAAGTGTTGCCTTAAAGTTAAAGCTCCAGAAATACATGTGCAAATTTTTGGCTGGTGCCGCGAAGTCTCAATCTTGCCAAGGTTATTCATAGTCGGCTCTCAGTCCAACAGCTTCTGTATAATGTTTGTTAACAAAACTGGCTCCACGCTAATTTAGCAGGGGGCTTCTGAATTCCGATGCTTGCAAAATTACAACCTACGGACGGTTGTGTTTGGAAGACTGATGAGTCAGCAAAGTGCCAGGTATCGATCCGACAATTAACGATGCTTGTTCCAAGGTCTGAGTTATTTGATTACAAAGTATAATGTCTGTTCCAAGGCTCTTTCTATTACTTTAGTGATTATAGTACATTTCAAGTCACTGTATTCCAAAGTTGCATTTCATTTTATTTATATTTACTGTACATTTTATCGTAGACTGACAGTAGCAGTAGTATCGTAGACAAAGTTTCTTCTCTATAAATCACACACAAAACTGTTCTTAATTTGGCTGAAGTTGCTAAATTTTGCTGTCTACATGTATATCCATTACAAAGTGTTGTACAGAGGGACTGAGTACATGTATATTATAAGTTTACCCAGTTTCTGACCTGATGTTCTGACTTGTGTTTGTGTTGTACCGAGGTTGTGTTTGTGTTGTACCGAGGTTGTGTTAGTGTTGTACCGAGGTTGTGTTTGTGTTGTACCGAGGTTGTGTTTGTGTTGTACCGAGGTTGTGTTAGTGTTGTACCGAGGTTGTGTTAGTGTTGTACCGAGGTTGTGTTTGTGTTGTACCGAGGTTGTGTTTGTGTTGTACCGAGGTTGTGTTAGTGTTGTACCGAGGTTGTGTTTGTGTTGTACCGAGGTTGTGTTAGTGTTGTACTTAGGTTGTGTTAGTGTTGTACAGAGGTTGTAATGAGTTGTGTTGCTGTTGTGTTACAGACTGACGGCATCCCCAGGCCCACGGCTCGCAGTGTCAGGCATCAGTATGACTTCTTCACTCTGGACGTGACCTTGAAGGAGGGCAGGAGACTCGCTATCAGGGACAAATGTGGTCAGTAGAGTCATCAACATTATAGTTAACATCTGTGTCCATAATATCACCAGGGTCCATAATATCGCCACCTTGAGAAACAGTGTGCTTTAAGATATTTTTACTGCAACATACTTTTGGTATGCACTCCTTCACACATCAAATGTACATACCTTAGGGTATGTTGCAGTAAAAATATCTTTAAGCACACTATTTAAGTTAAGCATTCTGAACTAAACATAGTTCACATTGATACGAATTTAAGGCTTCATGGTAAATGTGGTGAGTAGAGACGTCTGACTCCAAGCTATACCGCCTGAACAAGTTAGTTTTTATGAAACGTCTTTCCGTTTTCAAAATCATAACTGGTGTTTGAGTAATTGTTTTTTGGCATAAACTTGGTTCACAGTGATAAAGGAAAAGGCTCAATGGTTCTGTAGATAAGGTGAGTAACATGCTATATGTACAGGAGACTAAGTTGGCCTGACTTCTGTGGGCAGAGTTTAGTTCACGTTGATAGAAAACTGTGGAGATGTGAGGAATATCATCATAAGGTTTCATCATGAATCTTTGAGTTCTATTCTTCTCATGTCACAGCATTTCTGCCATCCTATCATGGTCAACTCTGTGAGATTCTACTATCATGAAAGTTCATCTGTGTTGGTTGTTACATGTTTAAAGTTAAAACTTTTGGTCCAACACAAAAAATTCTCTCACCTCTCACGAGCTTTCGACCAGTCTTCCTCAGTAGACTGACCCAGTGAAGCTTGTCACGTGGCTTGAGATTTTATTGAGATTTTATTTTCACAAAAATAGTTCCATTAGTTCCATTCCCATGTCCCAGCAATAATATTGTCACCCCGTCATGGCTAACTTGATTTCCGTGCCTGCCAAGTTCAAGGCATCTGCTTTTGCTATCAACCCTCCAATTGCCCCTGCACAGTGCACCGCCCCCCTCCCACCCTCCTCTTCCTGGGGTGACAAGGTCGTAAGATCGGATCATTAATCCGTTGACCTCTGTAGTGCAAGATGTGCTTTTTCTGTGACCTTGGCTGTGACCTTGGCTGTGACCTTGGCTGCACACTGCCACGTTTTATGCATCCTTGGTGCTGCAGGACATGTGAAGGTACAAGTACAGAGCGCTGACATAACGGTTTGGAGCCGGCGGCCATTCTGGTGTAACCTTCAGGAAAGTCATATAAAGTGAATGTGGGTGGTGACTGATCCTTAAGTCTGGAGTTAATCTCTCAAAGATGGGACTTTAATCCCCTCAAGTTTAGGTGTTAATCCGTGTGTGAACAGAACAAATGATGTGTCGATGAAGGTTAGACATCCAGGTCATGAGATTCACTAGAAAACAGTTACTAGCTTAAAGTGACTGGGTAGATTTTGCAAACTGTCAGACATTTCTACGCATCTACATGTACTTAGTCCACATTTTTCAAAATCTATCCAGTTGCTTAAGTACTATCTATTTTCTACTGTATAATATATAGTATTACGTAGTGTAGGATATAGGGGTGCATGTCTTTTTCTGTAAGACACTTTCAGCAGTATGATGAGCAGTATTATGTTCTTTCCAACTTCCAGGAACGAGCGACCCTTATGTGAAGTTCAAGTATGATGGGAAGCAGGTGTACAATAGCAGGATCGTGTACAAGAACTTGAACCCTCGGTAAACTTGAACCCTCAGTAAACTTGAACCCTTGGTAACGATTATTTTCTCTAACTTCCAGGAACCAGCGACCCTTATGTGAAGTTCAAGTACGACGGGAAGCAGGTGTACAAGAGCAGGATCGTGTACAAGAACTTGAACCCTCGGTGGGACGAGAGCTTCTCGCTGCCCGTGGACGACGTGACCCGGCCGCTCGTGGTGAAAGTGTTCGACTACGACAGGGGGCTGCAGGATGACCCCATGGGTCATGCCTACATCGACCTGGCCGCACTCATCATTCACAGGTGGGTCCTCATTGGTGGGGCTGGGATGATTGACAGGTGGGGCTGGGATGATTGACAGGTGGGGCTGGGGATGATTGACAGGTGGGGCTGGGATGATTGACAGGTGGGTCTGGGATGATTGACAGGTGGGGCTGGGATGATTGACAGGTGGGGCTAGGATGATTGACAGGTGGGGCTGGGATGATTGACAGGTGGGGCTGGGATGATTGACAGGTGGAAAGGAGATGATTGACAGGGGGGCTTGGATGATTGGCAGATTGGCCTGCTGATTCAGTTCTGCTGTGCCGTCCTTGGTGCTGAAAGTTTTGTTTTTGTTTGTTCTGTAGGAAAGAGTTGAGTTAGAGGATCTACACAAAAGTACAAAACATCTCAGTAATCTCTAGCAGTGTGTTTGTTGTTTGTTCTGTTGTGATATGGTATAACAGTGTGTGATATTTGATGTTTTTGTGTTTCCTGCAGGAAAGAAGAGTTTAAAGTAGAGCTAGAGGATCCACACGTGGCAGAAGACCTGGGCTACCTTCTCCTGGACCTCACTCTGGTGCCAAAAACTAGTGATGAGAAGGAAGAGGTCAGTTTCTTAACAAATATGCATAATATGTGTCTTAAAGGAGATGGACAAAACTTTCATCATGTGTCTTATAAGGAACTCAGAGATAGATGTAACATTCTGATTCAGAAGTTTTATATCAGTGGACAACCTCTTCTTTTTGTTTTGGAGACCACTTTCAGCTTCAGTTTCAGTTTATTACGATACCCTTTAGCCTGTTAGGGCTAATCTTCCAGGGCTCATTACACATTACACACACAGTACAAATATACACATATGACTACAAATTTACATACACGTTGAGGTTACATGTCAGACAAGTTACTAATTATAGCTAAAATCAAATCATAGCTTGATGAAGATCATGTCACCATATTATAGTAGGTTACTGTGCAGGGGGTGGGGGTGGGGGGTGAGATGGGAAGGGGGAAAGTTATAACTGCAACTTGAAGCCCCCCTGTTATGTGATTTTATTTGACTGTTGTCCACCTTTCGTTGCTTGACTAGATGTAACCATGTCTTGTCCTTTGTAAGTGTATGCTGGGCCCCATTGGAAAGCAGCTTCTACTAGCTGAATGAGCTAACTAGCCAGTTTATGAATGAATGAAGACCTTTATTGTACAGACATACCCACTGGGTTAAGTACAGGTCACAACACAAGGATGGAATACAGATAACATTACATACATCGTTAAGTAGCTACAATTAGATAAATTAACTAAATTCGGTTTCTTCTCGTTTCTTCCTGATGGTAAACAGGTAAGAACAGGTATGTTTCAATATAGAAGGTTTGTCTAAGCTCATTAGAAATATAAATTTATATGTACAACTTAGAGATGTATGAAGAAGGGGAAAATAGATTGTATCAGATTATAAAGATCTGCTATCTCTTTCTTGTATATGAGAAAATAAATGTGTAAAAGACTTTGTGTACAAGTAGGCAGCAAACACTTTCTGCATAATATTATATGTCATAAGCTTGTAATTCCAAAGATAGAGTTTTCTCATTTCTGAGTCCCATCATGATCCAATAGTGAGTATGCCTTCCATAAATCCCAATATAATGCTATTATACCACCAGTGCTGGGAGTTTCTGATGGTCTCAAAATGGTCGTTATCACCTGAAGCTGTCAAATAAAGCACAGAAGACAGACGGGCTGACAAAAACAGTTATAAACCTCATAGTTACATAGTTAGGGGCAGGCAGGTTGATAACACTGGGATGTTTTATAATGCTCATAGTTAGGAGAAGGCAACTTTGTAACACTGGGCTGGCTGTTTTACTGCAGTGAGAAACTGTGTGCCTCATTTTTAAAAAAATCTAGTTCAATTTTCACCTCAAAACAAGGCTCATATGAACCACATTGTACTGTTTTTGTTATGTTAAGGAACTGTAGAGACAGATGTTTGTTCACTCTAGACTTGAAAAGTTTAAAGTTATACCCATTTGGGAAGCATTCACAGGGAAGCTTGTTCCATAGTGATGTAGTTGTTCCGTAGCTTGTTCCGTCACATATAACACAGCTCCTGTAGGCAAATATGCAGAACTCCAAAAACACCTGCAGCTGTCAAATAAAGCACAGAAGACAGACGGGCTGACCAGTTATAAACCTCATAGTTACATAGTTAGGGACAGGCAGGGTTATAACACTTTGATGTTTTATTCGCAGCAAGAAACTCACAGTTTCTAATTTGAACACAACACAGCTTCTGTAACGTGAACCGTAGCAGAGCTGCATTGCACTACTGGCTACTTGGAAAAAAACATAACTATGCTTCATCTGAGTTCCTGCTCTACCCTAACCTTACCTGTTATAACCACGACAGATACCCTGACCTATTTCAGCACAAAAACCTGTTATTTTGTTTTGTACAGTAGTGTACAGTGTAAAAACATTTACAAAAACTCATATATTTCATGGAGGTTTGAGATCTCTGAATTCTTGTTTAGTCTGTTTTTAAAGCCTGAGTGCGCAATTCAGCATTTTATACGCTGCCATGTTCCTGGATTCTTGTCAATAAGCTATTATTATTATAGACACCCACAGCAGAGAGACTGTCCCATTTTCCTGTCCGTCTGGCTTAGCTCAGATCCCATCCAGCTGAAATATGACAGCAGTTAAAACTGCACTGCTGAGAGAGTCAGTCGTTTGATGCAATTTGTGCTCTTATTTTCCCAAGTGCCGGATCCAGAAGACCCACTGGTGAGAAACAAAATGATCCCTTATTATAGGAAAATGTCTGCTGAGAATTCTTGGAAGTCAAACATTACAGACATTTTTACCTTAGAGAAATAAACTTGAGTGTAGATTTGATCAGTAGGTATAAGATAAGAAATAATAAGGCCTAGGAAAAAAATGTGTTTCCTGTTTCAGTCCTGAAAAAAAAATTAGGGTTGGTAGGTACAGATTATCTTTTTCTTTCTTTCTCATTTTAGCAATCTCTTGTGATCCAACTTATAAATAATACAGTTTAGTAAAATGTGAGGACTCATTTATATTTTCAATGTCAATGTAGGAAAAACAATTGTACAATGTTTCATCACTCAGGTGTCAGATCATGGAGCTAGAAAATATCGATAAGCTCAAACTTTTATGTCCCTTGCGTTTTCACCCAAAAAAAGTCTATGGTTGGCAGTTTTTTTCTAGGGTCAATCAGGAAACAGGAAACACAACATTTTTTCCATAGGCCTAACGCTGAACTACAGAAGAGATTCCCTTCATTCCTGCCAAGCATTTACAAACAGATTGAAACCTGCATCATTAGAAAGCCCATCTTTCTCCAAATTACTCCCATCTATTTTCCAGGTGGCAAGTCAGTAATTTCTAAGCCGTGGGGCTTCGCATGAATGCAGCAGTTTTGTACTGAAAAGGCTTCATAATTGGTCACAATGATACACAGTAATACACAGTAATACACAGTAATGGCATTCCTGCAGGCAAGGGAAGATTATTGCTGCCAGCAGCACCCATCAGTCCTACTTGTTGCAGTTATTATTAGTCCTGATGTAGATAACATTCATGGTGCCTCTCCTTTCTCCTCAGAGCTGACATGACCCGGTTTTTTCTGTCTCAGTTTTCTGTGATTTCCCCAGAGGAGGGATAAGAATAAGATACTAGATACAAGATAGCTTTATTGGTATTAGCAGTGTGTAACACTGAACTAAAACCAAGTTTATAATTTTACAATCACAATTTGATTTTAAAAAAAAAACAGTCACAATGGTAAAAATATATATATTTGCCATTTTTAACAATAGGCTCAGTTTCATAGTATAGGTGGATATTAGAAGATACATACAAACCAGTTGAAATTACATGTGAAACACAGTTACAAATGACAAATTTGTATTCAAAATGCTGTAAAGTCCATGCTGGTTAAGGAGTCAGATCAGGTACAGTATGTGCTGGAGTTCAGGTCTGTTTGCTTTGGCTTTGGGGTAGTCAGATGAGAGATTCTGTGCCTTCAGGCTAGGTGGACTAAGACTATCACCAGCTCCTTCTGAAGTGTGTTAGAAAGTCAGCCTCAGGCTGGGCCACTTTGTGCCAGTATTGTTCAGATCAAGTCCACTGTATACGCACCCCAAGGCTCATCACACGAATAGCAGAAATATCAGCCTATTTAAAATGTGCTCCACCAGTTCTTGTATACTAGATAACCTGACTGCCTCTTGGCTCCTGTTGTATCCTGAACCTTGCCTCAGTATAGTTCAGTTCTGGGTAAAGCATGGTTCTGGGTAAAGCATGGTTCTGGATAAAGCGTGGTTCTGGATAAAGCATGGTTCTGAGTAAAGCATGGCTCTAGATAAAGTATGGTTCTGGATACGTCGATGAAGGTTAGACATCCAGGTAATACGATACGCCAAAAAGTAGTAAATGTTACTCAAGCAGCTGGATATGATTTTGGAAACGGTCAGAAGTTTCAGCCACATAGTATCCACTAGCTTTCTTCAGTGACTGAGAGACCAGAGGATAAATGCTTATAAACCTGCATTTCTATATATACATGTATATGGATACCAGCTGAAACGTCTACCCGTTTCCAAAATCATATCCAGTTGCTTGAGTAACTGCTTTTTGGCATATGGTTCTGGATATAACGCCTCCTGTTCCTGTGTACTGCATGACCTGACTGCCTCCCTGCTGCCCTGCTGAAAGTGACTAACGACTGGAACAATAAGGAATAATGAGACCAGCTCAGTGATGGATGGCAGAACCCGAACTGTCAAAACCCGACCCAGTTTCCCATCTTCTGCAAAACACCTCTTTACTCCTGAGTTCTTTGCAAGGTGTTCAGATGAATACTAGTTAGAATATAATTAGTTAAAAGTGCAAGCTGCAGTGTGTATAATATAGCGGCACTATCTAAACTCAACTCGAGGATTTAGCATTAAGCAGCTATGATATAAACTGCTCAATTTCACCCAACTCCTCTCTGCAATCATCTTAAATTGTCTGTTGCCTCCGGACTCAAATCAATTGTTGCTGTCCCCTTTGCCTGATTATAGCTGGACGGATACAAAGTAATTTGTCCCGTTGGAAACATCATGGAACTCTGTTGGGACTGGCAGTTCACCTTATTGTGTCAGGCTGGGGGTAATGAGGACAGGTTTTAACCATACTGGCACAGATATTAGCTGTAGGGCCTGTCCTTAGTGCTGGAAGCCTGGTGTGAGTTAGTGAGGACAGGTTTTAACCTTACTTGCACAGATGTTAGCTGTAGGGTCTGTCCTTAGTGCTGAAAGCCTGGTGTGAGTTAATGAGGACAGGTTTTAACCATACTTGCACCAGTACTAGCTGTAGGGCCTGTCCTTAGTGCTGAAAGCCTGGTGTGAGTTAGTGAGGACAGGTTTTAACCATACTGCCACCAGTACTAGTGCTGTAGGGCCTGTCCTTAGTGCTGAAAGCCTGTGTGAGTTAGTGAGGACAGGTTTTAAACATACTTGCACCAGTACTAGCTGTAGGGCCTGTCCTTAGTGCTGAAGCCTGGTATGAGTTAGTGAGGACAGGTTATGGCCAAAC